CATCTTTTTTCAGTATTTAGCTGGCTTATACTGATACCTAAATCGTACTTTTTATATATTTCAAAATATCATTATATTGAAAACTTTGAGATAACACTATAGAAAACTTTGGAATAACACTATATCGAAAACTTTGAGATAACACTATAGAAAACTTTGGAATAACGCTATATTAATATTGAAAACTTTGGGATATCATTATCAAACGTGTATCAAAAAATGTGAACACTATTTATAATCAGAAAATGATACCTGTGATATCACTAATTCGAAAACTTTGGAGTATCACTTTTCGATACCTTGAAGTATCATTTTTATTGATATCTAAATTAAGCAACACGAAAATGGTTATCGAATATGTACCTTATATATCAGAAGTACTTACCTGAAATTTATCTTAATCAAAATTGCGCGACACAAAAAATCCTGTCCACTCACAGGTTCGTGTTCAGATATGTATAGCTAATTTGTTTATTATATATATTATCTAATTTTTTCTGGCTTATTGTGGAACAATGGCACTTACGTACCTGAGCGGTTACTGTGAAAAGACGGAATATCGAATATTAATTTTTGATTTAAATTTTTCTGCATACTCATTGTAAGAGGCGACAAAAACCCCCTTCTACTACCTGAGATAAATAACTAGTTAAATGTAGCAATCTCTCTGCTTCAGAAATTACTACTAAAACTAGATGATATTGTCTTAGTACCTTATGCTTGCTTTATTAAAAAATTTATAACGATTATGCATATTCAATGATTGCTAGAGATTTATTTTTCAATTCTTTTTTGTGCGAAGTAGTAGGAACTTTCATTTTAGTCTCAAAATTTCGCTTGTATTCCAGGAAAGCGATCTCGTCCATACTCTCGCGCTCTTTTTTCTTTTTTCTCTCAAGTTCGAAAAAAACTAATAGTTATTTTATATAAAATATCCAGAATCAAGTGATGAAGTTCAAATAGATAGTCTCGGTTACCCGATCCACATATCCCGCAATTGATCACTTTTCCTTTCTAATCCCATGAACGTCTCAATATAACGAACCACATAACTGATAATTAATAGAGTAAGAGAAATATATGCTGATAAAGGTGACATCAACGTGCTTGTCATAACAGGGATCGCTCCTATTCCTCCTATCGGAAGAGGCAAAGCCTCGGGACCAGACCTCATCTGAGAATTCGATTCAATTAAAGCGGACATATTATTATCCGGTTGTATAAGGTGTGGAGTCACATTTTGAGGCATAGCCTCCGATGTATTGGGTTTTATCGATATATCTAGTATATCATCCTTGTTAATTTCACTAATGTTAGTTCTATCCTTTACTTCGGAATTAACCTCTGTATCAATTTTTGGTAGTTCGGTAATCTCGTCATTAACAAAGCAAGTACCAAAAGTGCTAGTTTGTGCCGAGATATCATTATCGATTTTTTTAGCTTGATCCATACTTTTTCTGTGTACAAAATATTGTCTGAGATTTTTGCTAGGTTCAATAACTGCAGATATATCATCAGACTTGGTCATATTTTTTTCATCGTTTCCGCCAACTATTGCGGAGCAATGACCCAAAGGGTCTACGGGTATTGATATAGCCTCTGATTTCAGATTCTCGAGCTCACTGACTTTCGAGGCTAACTCATGTTCTACTTCAACTATTTTAGACTTGAGAGATAAAATCTCGAATTCTTTTTTCGATGAGTCATTTTGAATCGAAATCACATCTTTCTGGGCTGAAGATAACTTACTTTCCAATATCTTTATCATAGACTCAAGTGATTTGATTTTCTTGGATTTTGTAACGTTCTCAGCCTTGGATTCAGCAATAAAAATATCCTTTTGTGCGTTATGCGAAATAAGATTAGTATTTTCATTTTGTAGTTGCTTATGCTCATTAATAACCTGCAAAGCATGGGTGCGTAACTTTTGAATCTCGGTATTATTTCGTAACGAATCCGATTCCACCCCTTTCTTTCTCGATCGAAAGCCTTCATTTGCTTTATGTATTTATCCTGCAATTTCTCGCTAAGCTTGTTAATTTCGGCTTTGGATTTGATAACATCGTGTTTTTTTTTTCTAGCTCTTCTTCGCGTATACTACCAAGTCGATGGCCTTTATTATTTTGTAATGTATGTATATTAGCCAACATATTAGCACCTTGTGCTTGCTCTGCTAAATAATAGATAATATATAAAAAATGAATAAGACGCAAAAAGTAAAATATATCTCCAGCAAATATTATTTTTTCATATACAGTAACGTGCAAAAGTATCCTACCGGTTGTATCATCTAAACGTACATAATAATAACTCCTTAAATTT